CACCCACCAGTGTCCCCAAAGGCCAAAGTGAAAGACAAATACAATCAGGCCTATTTGTCACCAACTTTATTTCTGGCTTCAGTTTGACAGTCAATGAAACAACTTGTTCAATGTCCCCTCCCCCAGTGTTCAAGGTACCCTTCTATATATTATTAACTCTTTGCTAACATATTTAATATTTAAATACAAGGAAAAACAATAAATTACTCGTTGGCTGAGAGCTGGCTGCTGGCTGGCAGACAGGAGCAGCTGTTCTGCTCCTCTCCTGACCCTGCCTCGGATGAGGCTTCGAGGCCCCAGGACCCCAGTGAGGTAGCAGAATTCTGTACACAGTACTTATTACCAGGGACTCCTGGTGTCCACTGCTTTAGTGCTGGGGCCCTGAGTCTCTGAACCCTTGGCTCCAAGTGCCAGCAGCCACAGTCTTTCCCAGTCCCCAACGCTGACAAACACACTCATTTAAATAACACACAAAAATAAATAAGGCCAAGAAGAAATGTGCCTGAGCTGCTCTCTGCCTCAGTTGCCTGTGTGTGAAGTGGGTACCTCTCCCACCACATGTCTGGCAAGGGGGGCACCCACTGTAATGCTACAGTGTGCTCTAGGGCAGGGGAGGGGTGTAGGGACGCGTCATCCCCGGATCCACTGAGCTCAGGGCCCTGGACAGAGGAGGCCCACCAGGCTGAGCCCTGGGCAAGGGGAAGGCTGGGGTCGGCTAGGCTGAAGACAGGCAGCACAGGCTGAGGTCTAAGCTAAGGAATTTTACCCCCTCCCTAACCCTCTTCCCCACCTCCCCAAGACACTTCTGATAACAGAAAGAAAAATGAATCTGCAACTTCAATAGTCAGGTCCTGTCTCTGCAAATAATGATGCTTTCGATGTTTCAGTTGAACTGTCCCTCGCGAAAAAGTTTCTTTAAATGTAAGAGCAGATCCTTTACAAACTGGGCCACCTCGATTTTGGTGTCTCGGACACGCAAGCTGGAAAACTGCTGCAAGACAAAGAGGCCAGGGCGTGAGTGGGACGCCAGAGGGCAGAACGGCCCGCACAAACCAGGGGCTTTCCAGGGACTGTCTCATTCAGTCCTCACGGAAGTCCCCATGAGGTGAGTACTGTTAGTACCTCTACTGTACAGATGTGGACATTGAGGCCCAGGTAGGAGTCAGGAGCCCTTGAGCCCAGGTCCTGTAATCCCGAAGGCCATGTCCCTGCTGCCACAATGGCCCCAGCCCTGGGTAGACACACACCTTGGGTATTCAGCCATCTTCCCTTCAGCGAGCCCAGGGTTGGCAGGAGGGGGTGCAGGGTGGGGGTGGGAGGTTGGGGGGCACCTTACCCCAGCTGAGACCTTGTGCGGGCAGAATCCGTTCAGCATCCTCTGGGTCTTCTCGATGGCACTGCAGCCTGACACGTTGATCAGGGATTCCAGGGCTGCACAGTACTGTGGAGAGGGGACACTGAGGGGTCAGGCCCTGCTGGGGTGGCTGTCTTTTGTGAGTCTGCAGGAAGATGGGGCTGAGATGCCTGGTGCAGATGAGTCTGGGTGCTGGGAAGGGCCCAGATTATTGGGGGAGGGAGAGGAGAGCGCTTGAAGCTTGCTTGGAACCCCAGCCATGGAAGGGAGTCTCAGAGAAGACAGGCCCAAGGCCTGGAGCCTCTGCCCCATCCTCCCTGCACCTGAAGGTCCTTACCACGCCAGCTGTCAGGTTGATGCTCCACACCATGCTGCCGTTGCAGAGCGGGGCCTGCGGGAGCAAAGCGACAGTGAGCAGAGTGCTGGCAGGGGTCGTGGGCCTGCCCTGCCAGCCCAGGCCAGGTCTGCACCAGCACAGGCCCCACACGCATCCCTCGTGTGGCGCAGAGGCAGGCCTGGCAGCCCCTCAGCGTTCCTGAGCTTCGTTTTCTGCTTTGAACAGCGAGCATGGGGGTGAGGACCCATGTATAGGGTCTTGGAATTAAAAAAAAAAAATTGAGTGACACCACTAGTAAGGGACAAGCTGCATGCGAGGCTTGCCATAGTCAGGGCAAGAGGACAGGCGCCTGTGGAAAGGGCCAGGGTGGGGATGAGTGAAGTAGTGGTGGCCTGGGCCACTGTTGACCAAGACAAATCAGATGGGAGGCAGTGGGGGTCTGGTGTATTAAATGCCCTGCCTTCTGATTGTCAGGGAACATTGCAGTTAGGAGCATGGGCACTCTGGTGTTGGCCACGCCTGGCTTGAATCCAGCCTCTGTCACTTAACCTCACTGAACCTTAGCAGAATGGGTTCATTGTACCTGCCTCTTGAGGTGGCTGGCAGTGATGAAATGACACATAAAGCACGTGTTTCAGGCCTGGTGTAAGCAGCGCTCAAGACATGTGAGCTGTTACTAGTGAGGCAAGGAGTGGACTCTCCTCACAAATCCTCCTGTAAGGGCAGGCCTATTACGGTGCTGGGGAGAATGGCTGCATTATTATGGTCAAAATCCAGCTGGCAAATGCCACGTGGTTCTGGGAGGGTGCTGGCCCTTCTCTGCTGTCCTGTGTTCAGGAATGGCTGAGTAGGAGCTGGCAGTGGCGGACAAGGCCAGGCCAGGAGAGCAGGTAGTCCCTGGGGACTCTGCCAGACCCCTTCATAGGTCCATCCACACTGCTGAGCCCCCCAGCCCAGCTCCTCTCTCTCTCATGGCTGGGCCAGGCCTTGGTCCATGGGGATTCTTCCTGACCCATAGGCATCTTAGGATCCAAGCCCAGCCTGCTCATTACCTCATCCTGGGAATCACCCGCCCTGGAGCCCTCATAGCTAGGACCCTGGCTAGCCGACACTCACCTTCTGGTTCTGGGTGATGTTGACCAGCTCCTCAATGAGCTCCTTGAGGGCTGTAGAGGGAGGCACAGGGCTTGGGGAGGCAAAGCCGCCGAGGCAAGTGAGAGCAATGACCATGGTCAACAAGAGCGCCATGAGGCCCAGTGCCAACAGGAGAGGATTGAGGAGCGGACGCATAGGCTGGGTGGCTTGTGGCCTTGGCGTCTTGTGGCAGCTTTTATAGGCCCAAGTCGTGACGCCTGACACCATGGTCTCTGCTTTTTCAGGCACTATCTAGAAACCACATCTTTACTCATCTTGATTTTACTTTGTGGAAAATCCAGTGTCGCATAAAGGAAAGAGTTTGATTTCTCGTGGACTTATTGAGAAGGGTCCAGGGCAGAGTTTCCAAGATCTGGGTGGGTTTAATTCCAGCGGCAGGCAAGGGGCCCTGAGAGCGGCATGGCATCTGCAATGCTGCCCTGAGTTCCAGCAGTTTTGCCTGTGACAACCCTGAGTACCTGGACAGCTGACCCAACTCTGAGCTCCTATCCTCAGACGCTTTTGGGTCACCGGAAGTGCTGGGCAGATACTGCACTGTGGCTGTGGCCACAGTCTACCAGCTATGGGAATTCGGGGAGTTTTACTTTTTTAATAAACCAGTCTCTTAAATTACTTAAGTAATACTTGCTTGGATACAAAATTCAAACAGGCAATAGAAGAGTAAAGTTCACTTCTTTTGGCTTGCCTAATTCCTCCTTGGCCCCACTGTGGGAGGGATTGTCAAAAGTCAGATTTCCAGGTCTCCACTGAGCGATCCAGACAGGTTCAGAGGTCTTCCTGGGACCTTTTTTGGTGTTTTTTGTTTTTTTGGAGATGGGATCTCACTATGTTACCTGCCTAGGTTGGCCTCCAACTCCTGGACTTAAGCGATCCCCCCACCTCAGCTTCCAGAGTGGCTGGGAGTAGTGTGCACCAGTGTCTGGCCCCTTTAATTTAAAGTGCACGGGCCATCCTGCTGGGAAACTCTTAACCGGGCCAGGCTGGCAGCTTTAGTTCAGGTCAGAGATTATAAGTGTTCCTAGTGCCACTGGGACTTGGCGTGATCCCGTTTGCTCACCAGTCTCTGCAGGATCAACCCCTGCCGTCTGGGGGCCTCAAGTTTCCCTTCTGCAGAATGAGTGCTGTGGAGGGGCGGCTCCTGGGCCCGGCCCCTGCAGCCATGTCGCCTTTTCCTGCTCTTCCCTCATTTTCCTAGAAGTCCTCCAGAAACCCCCACAACAGAGGCCACGGCATTTGCCTGTTGGGTGTTGATGTCAAGATTTCTCCTTTACCCACTTCCTCCCCGAGCCAGCGCCTCCCCAGCCCCCCTCTCTGCCTGCTCAGGCTCCCTCCGTCCTGTCCTCAATGGGGCTCAACCTCCTCACAAGGGTGTGCTTGTGACCTGTGCCACAAGGGATGCTGGATTCCCGCCCAGAGGCATCCCAAGCTTGCTCACCCTCTCTTCCCACAGGGAACATCATTCCCACCCTCTCTGTCCACACTCGAAGCTTCCCAGCCCAGCTGCGGGCCCTGACTCCCAAAAGTCTGCCCCTTCCCCTCGAGGGCCCCCAGTGCCTGGAGTGCCGCTACTTGGCTGTGTGACCCCTCTACGGGCCTGTTTCCTAATCTGTAGTAGAGAGTCCATGGCATCTCCCATAGGGTCTCCATCATGGGGGAAGCAGCGGGGAACTACCCTGGGCTGTGCAACTCCCGGTGCCCCGCCCGGATGAGTCAACGCCCCCGTAACCCCCACGGCTACCAAAAGCCCAGCCGGGAGCGGTGGGCAGGCGCGCCCCCGCGCGTGGGAGAAGGCGCTGGCGCGGCGGTTGCGGCGGCGATGGCCCGCGGAGATAAGGGAGTGACCTTATGTAACGGGAGATAGGCCCGATAAGCGGGATCTGCGCGGCCGGGCCCTCCTCCACGGCCTCCGGCGGTGGCCGGTGCGGGAAGCAGGGGTGGGCGCGCAGACCGGCCTGTCTGGAAGCTACGGAGGCTGGCGAGGGGGCGGCAAAAGTGGAAGTGGTGGTCCGAGCGCCAGGCAGGGCAGGGGCCAGCTGGACACCTGGGCCCGCGGCGGCCCGTGCGCCAGTGCGCACCGGCGAGGGCGGGAGCGGCGGAGGGGCCGAGGCGCACACGTGCTCCTCCAGCACCGGCTGTATCAGGCCGAGGGATCCTGCGGGCCCGGCCGAGCGGCAGCACCTGCCCTCGAGGGTGGTCCCCGCGGACCGAGGCGTGCCGGGCCGTGCGGAGAGGCGCGGCCCAGATGGCTACATCAGAGGGTCTGTTGCTTGTTTCTAGATTGTCAGTGGAGCTCCACTCCCGTGCGGGCAATTTTAATTAACACTAACTACCAAAGGGCCGCTCCGGGCACTTGGCGCATGTGGCTCGCACCTGCCTGCAATGCGCCGCGTGGGCCGCCCGCTGATGGCCACGGGGAGCCTCCCCGCTTTGCTCTGGCGCCGAAGCGCTGGGATTGGGACCGCCCTTCCTCCGGACCAGCTCACCCTGGAAAAGCTGGGAAAGCTGGGGTTGCTTTTTCGGGTTTCCTCGGACTCTGGGTCTCCGTGGGCAAAGACATGCCCAGTCGGGAGGAGTAAGGCCTGAGAGAGTTGTTTTAGTAAGTGAAACGATTTAATTTTTTAGATTTTTATTTTTAGGAAAGTTACGAATGCCGATAATTGTAAAAATCAAGAAGGTTCATTACGTAAAGCGGCAGCGCTGGGAATCCGTGCTCTACGGGCCTCTGGCATTGCTGCTCCTCTTGTGAGTGAGGCACTCACTGCCCTGCTGTTTCCCTTACTGTCTTTTAAAGGTTGTTTATATTGCAGACAGCCTTGGAAGAGATAGCTCCTTCCTCCGGAGCTAAAGGCAGGCGCACTTCCCATTCTAAAACTTCAGGCTCCCTAAGCTCATGCTTCCCCTCCTGTAAAGCAACCCATTTGTGCAGGTGCCAGCTGGCCTTCTCTGCGTCTCCCTGGGAGAACTGAAATTCAGGGAACAAAAATGTTCATGCTCTGCTACTACTTCTGTGCATAATAAACATGTTTGCCGTTGATGCAAGAATCCTGTGTCTTCTACCAGCATCCACGAAACTGTGAAGTGTGGCATGCTGACTTGTTAGCTTGTTAAGTAGAGGAAAAACTCAGATCTCTCCATTTTTGACAAGCAGCCTTCCCCCACCCCAGCCTCTTATCCAGGGAAACCTCTTTATCTCCCTTCATGGTTCTAAATTAAGCCTAGGTTGCTGTTTCTTGATTTTTTAGACATAGGCGCTGTTGTCTACAATGAATATTTCGTTCTTTCTTTCTTGCTGTCCTTCCTCCACCTGCATCCTTCCTTTTTTCTCATCAATACAGATAGATCATAATTTGGGTCAGTCAAAAGCCTTGTATGCTGTTTGCCTAATGATACTAATATATTCACAGGTGAAACATGGTTGGCTATGAATACTTTTATTTTCTTTCAAAACTTTTTACCTCTGAAGTTAATAATTATCTTGTTTTTCCATATTCTTAGTTTTCTGTGTTCCTCTCAGTGGCTGAACCCTAAACTCTCGACCAAATACATGAAACTACTCTCAAGAAATTTGATGAGTTTTTCTCATAATTCATCTTCCTAAGAAAGCCGGGAGGTCAGGCCGTCTGGCCTGCTCTGATCTAGCACTGCCCCCGACCCTGCCACACAGCCGTCTGAGGCCTGTCGCCACTGCCCTGGGAACTCCCTTCGCCACTATGTGTGCTTCTCTTGAGTTTTTGATCTTTCTTTTTTCTTGGGTAAACGTATCCCCTGATAGCTTTCTAATAAAGGGTGTGGAGCAGGTAAACTTTTTGAGAACTTGCATGTCTAAATAGATGTTTTATCCTCAAGTTGAATTTGACAGTTTAGTTAGGTATAGAATTTTAGGCAGGAAATACTTTTCTTTCAGAATTATAAAGGCCTGTGCTGTTGCCTCCTATCTTCCAGAAGTGCAGAAGTCTAGAACCACTTTGAATCCAGATCTTTCCTCACTCCTTTTGTAGAAATTGTCTTGGTCCCCACACTCCACATTTTACAACAATGTGCCTTGGTATAGTTCTGTTCTCAACAACTGTACCAGATACGTAGTGGGCCCTTTCAAACTGAAGACATGCCATTAAGTTCTGGTAAATTTTATTTCTTTAAAAAACCTCTCTGTTGTTTTTACTTCTTTGATTGTTGTTGTTGAGACAGAGTCTTGCTCTGTTGTCCAGACTGGAGTGCAATGGCGTGATCTCAGCTCACTGCAACCTCCGCGTCTCAGGTTCAAGGGATTCTCCTGCCTCAGGTCCCGAGTGGCTGGGAGTATATGCACCCGCCATCACGCCTGGCTAATTTTTTGTATTTTTAGTAGATGCGGTTTTGCCATGTTGGACAGGCTGGTCTCCAACTCCTGATCTCAGGTGATCTGCCCACCTTGGCCTCCCAACATGCTGAGATTACAGGTGTGAGCCATCGCGCCCGGCCCTATTTTTACTTCTTATCTTTGAATAAATATTCCATTCACATGGCACAAAAAAACTATATACATTCTTTATTCCTCCTTTCTCCCTTCTTTGGGTTGTACATGGTATCGTTTCTTGTTTGGTTGTTCAACACAGAGGTTAGGGACACCTATCTTCACCCTGTTTTTTCAACCCCCAGCCATGCAGTTGAAAATCCACATATAACTTGACTTCCTCAGAACTTAACTCCTAATAGCCTATTGTTGAGTGGGAGCCTTATTGATAACATAAAATGCATTAACACATATTTTGTATGTTATATGTATTATATACTGTATTCTTACCATGAAGTAAGCTAAAGAAAAGAAAACGTTGGCTAGGTGCAGTGGCTCATGCCTGTGATCCCAGCATTTTGGAAGGCCAAGGCAGGCAGATCATTTGAAGTCAGGAGTTTGAGACCAACCTGGCCTACATGGCAAAACCCTGTCTCTACTAAAAATACAAAAATTAGCCAGATGCACTGGTGGCACATTCCTGTAATCCCAGCTACTCAGGAGGCTGAGGCTGTAGAATCGCTTGAACCCAGGAGGCAGAGGTTGCAAGTGAGCCAAAGATCACGCCACTGCACTCCAGCCTGGGTGACAGAATGAGCTCCATCTCAAAAAAAAAAAAAAAAAAAAAAAAAAAAAAAAGGTTGTTAAGAAAATCACAAGGAAGGAGGAAAAAATATATTTCCTATTCATCATTAAGTAGAGGTGGAACATCACAAAGGTCTTCAGTGTCACTGTCTTCACGTTGAGCAGGCCAAGGAGGAGGAAGAAGAGAGGAGGGGTCGGTCTTGTCATCTCAGGGGTGGCGGAGGCAGGAGAAATACCACAGATAAGTGGATCTGTGCAGTTCAGAACCTGCTATTCAAGGGTCAACTGTGTATGTAAAAAATTTAGTGGAATCTCCACCTTTCCTCACCAAATAACAATTTTTCTTAGGTGTTTTTTTTGGGGGGGTTATCCTATTTGTTTATGTAAATACAAGCAACTGTGGATATATGGTCTATTTTCCTTGTCCTACCTGTGAAGTGGCATCATAATCACCTTTTGCACCCTGTTTTTTCTCACTTATAAAAATAATATATTTTTGTATTCACACTTAAATTGGGATATTTTATGACTTTTCTTCTCTGTTCTCTTTTTCTCTCTTATTGGAACTGCCATTTTTTGATTATACCTCTTGGACTTTGTCTTGAATTTCTTTTTATTCTAAAAATTTCTCTCCTCTGGGATATTCTCATAGCTTCATCTTTCTTCCTGAGGGTATTTGTTATTTGAAAGTGTGTGTGCACACGTGCACATGCACGCTAATGGCACTGTGTTCTTGTTTCATTGATGAGATAGCTAAGTTTCCTTTTTCATACATAATCTTTATTTTCTCCAAGTTTTCTTTAAAAAATTGTTTTGAACTGGGCATGGTGGCTCACGCCTGTAATTTTAGCACTTTGGGAGGCCGATCTCTTGAGCCCAGGAGGTTTGACACCAGCCTGGCAACATAGGGAGGCTTCATTTCTGCAAAACACAAAAAAAACTTAGCCAGGCATGTGGTGGCATACCTGTGGTCCCAGCTACTTGGAGCTTTTGGTGAGCATCACTTGAGCTCAGGAGTCGAAGCTGCAGTGAGTTGTGATCACACTTTCACTCCAGCCTGGGTGACAGAGCCAGACTCTGCCTCAAAAAAAAATATTTTTTCCATGTGATTGGCTTTCCTTGCATGTTAGGGGACTCTCTGGATTGCCTGCAACATGTTAAAACAGATAGGAGCTCTGAGGGTAAATGTGTGGGAGGGGGCTGTTTCCTGTAGGGCGGGTGGCTGACTGTTTTCACTTGGGGACCTCCTGTGCCAGTTCTTTGTCATTTTTCGGCAGGCAGGTCAGCTTGCGCAGAAAAGATTCTCCCTGTCTCCAGCATTCTGGCAGCAAGGGTGGAGAGAGGGTGGGTGGGGGCTTGGCATCTGTTGACTGTTCCTGATTTCAGCATATTTCTTTTTTTTTTTTTTTTTGAGACGGAGTCTCGCTCCGGTCGCCCAGGCTGGAGCTGCGAGTTGCCGGATCTCAGCTCACTTGCAAGCTCCCAGGCGTGGTGGCCATTTCCGCCTCATCCTCTCGAGTAGCTGGGACTACAGGCGCCCGCCACCTCACCCGGCTAGTTTTTTGTATTTTTCAATAGAGACAGGGTTTCACCGTGTTAGCCAAGATGGTCTCGATCTCCTGACGTTGTGATCCGCCCGTCTCGGCCTCCCAAAGTGCTGGGATTACAGACTTGAGCCACCGCACCCGGCCGATTTCAGCATATTTCGACTGCCCTCCACTGTGTCTGGTGTTTCTCGGTCCAGATATCCTGTCCGGAGAAAACCCTGCTGCAGGAGGGTCACCCAACTTTGAGGAACAAAAATGGATATCTAACTGTTTCTTAAACTGAGTTTCAACAACTTTCCTTATTTTCACTGACCCTTGCCCTTCCGATGTTCTTGGTCTTTGCCCAGTTCCTGAGCATTCTCAGGACTCTGTAAATCAGCATGGGTCTCAGCTGGCCTGCCACGCCGTTTCCTTGGGTCAGCCAAGTAGTCTGCCCACCGTCCATCCACTTTCCACCTTTCCAACGCTGGTGCTGCCATCCCTTTCTCCCATTTTGGGGCTTTTAAAACTTTAGAAAATTCAGTTACTGTCATTTTAGTTGGTTATAAAGTGGGAGTTTGTGTTTATTCCATTGTTTTTACTTGGAATTTATATTTTTAATGTGGAGAATTTATAAACAAGACAAGCAATAAGA